CGGAGCAATGCACGCAAAACACAAGCACAAGCACGAGACAAACGCACACATACACACACAAACACACACACACACCAAAACACAAACACACAAACACACAAACACCCAAACACACACCAGCGACGGCGAGCGCAAAGGTGATGGCGGAAACAGCGGCGGTGACAGGGGCCCAGAATCTGCGCATGCGCACACTCGCAGCACGCGACCAACGCGACGCAACAAACCGCCGGGGTGCTTGGAAGCACACAGTCACCACACACGAGCTGTGGTGTGATGGCGGCGAGTGATGCAAGCCGTGTGATGTTGAGCAGGTCAACATGAGCGGTTTGCAACTTGCCAATGTGCATACTTGTGTGCACGCTCGTGTGTGTGTGTGTGTGTGATGAAGAGGTGCACGTATAGGTGTGCGATAGGTGCTCGCGTACATGGGAACAACAACTTTCACATCACGCGAGCAGCTATGAAATGCAGTGGCGAGCTTCGATACTGTGGGCAAACGCATACACAGCTTACGTGAGCACGAGGGCGGTGGTGGCGAGGCCAAAGGAATGGCCAAGCACCACGCACGTGTCGCTCCAGATGCTCCCATATGCACACAGCGCAAGCCCTGGCGTGAAGGTGGGTGAGGGGAGGGGAGAGAAAGCGTGCGAGGAGGGTGAGGAAGGGATTCATGGCTTGGATTGTGCCTCGTCTGGTGGTGCCAGCACTTGTTGCTGATGTACACACACACATACACACACGCACGCTCACACATACACGCACGCACATGCTCAGATGCACACACTTGTGTGAAAACGTACATAAGATGGGTGCGACGACTTTCACCGTGTTGGGGACCAAGGTGTGCACGGGCGCATGGTGCACCTGCAGTGAGAGTTGACAGTGCCATGTACGAGGTCATGAGTGGAGGTGGTGCGACACGCAAGACTTCGAATTGTAGCAACGCACATACATACACACACGGCCCTGCACATGGGCACACACAACAGAGGACGGGCGTGTGTGGTTCGCACCTCGTTCAAGTGTCGATAGAGAAGAACAAAGAGAGCGATGCTGGTGGCGAGGGCGATGAAGAGAAACGCACGCGTGACTTCCGCCTCTGCGCTGCCGCCAAAATTGGACGCAACTGCAGCACCAACACACACACACCAACACACACACACACACACACACACACACACACACACACACACACACACACACACACACATTCACACGCGCACAACGGGGACGCACGTGTTCGCGTGAGTATGACGGTATGAGCGTATGTGTGTGTGTGTGTGTTTGGATGTGCGTATGTGAGGTTGTTCAAGCGCAGACGAGAGGGAGAGAGAATATGTTTGCGACCGGTTGTGAATGTGTTTGATTGCGTTTGCTTGCGTTGGGTGGTTCCACACACAACACACACCGTGCACAAGACACGAACACCGCCAAACGGTGTTGTGGTGTGTGACAACACGACTTACACCAAACGCCAGAACTCCCGGGAAAGGTCCAGTAATTCAAAAACAGGGCTGTGTCGAATCATCATCAAGGACGGATGGTGGATGATTTGAAACAAGTCAGCAAACAAACATGAACATTGAACGTGCGTAGCACACACACACACACACGTGCATACACGCAAACAGACACACGCACATGCATACACGCAAACACACGCAGGTACGTGCCTATGTGCAGGTTGATCCCCACACAACAGGTACAAGAAGGAGAACGTGCAGTCTGCGCAGTGGTCGTTCGTTCGCTCACCGAGTAGAATCATGAGGAAGATGCCTGCCGAGATGGCGAGCAGCAGGTGGAGGATGGAGACGGGTGACAGGGCTGGGCAGTGCACACGGGAGCAAACAAGTGGCGTCAAGCGGCATACATGGCACGAGGTACCGGCCAAGCACATGGGCACACACACAGACACATGTATACACATACACAAATACATGCATACACGCACGTATACACATACACAAATACATGCATACTCGCACACCCGCACACACACATGCATACACGCACGCACGAACATACATGCATACACGCACTCCCACGCACACGCACACACACACACATCAGAACCTACGCCGGATGTGGGGCTGTGCATCTGTTCCGCTGCTGGTTATCTGCACACCGCTGATTGGCTGGTGTGTCACCTGCGACTGCTTTCCCGGCCCCTGCTGATGTTGTTCTTGTTGGTGTTGTTGGTGTCGTTGTTGCTGCGGTGGTGGCTGAAGTTCGTCGTCGGGGTCGCCATACACGGGCTCCTGTGACGATGCCACTGCTGCTGCAGTTGCAGTTGCAGTCGCTGATGGTCGATTCGATGCAGGATTATGCTCGTCAATGTCCTCGTACACTTCTTGGTCTTGCACGGGTGGCTCATCCACATCGCCGTACGTGTGCATGGAATCTAGCGTTGGTGGTGCTGCTGCGGTTCTGTCGCCATTGCCGTCACCGTCAACGTCACCGTACACGGGGGCACTGCGATCGCCCAATTGCGGGTGTGTAAAGTCGAGAACAGGGGCACCAGCATTCACGTCGTACTCCCGGTCGCACTCCGGCGGGGACTTGGCTGCGCTGTCGTTGTCGTACAGAGCGAGCTGTGGCGGGTCAAGCTTGTGGCTGTCGTCGTGTAGCGCGTGCGTGTGGATGGGCGGGTGGTCGAACCCAAACAGGTCCAGCGTCGGTGTGCCTGCATCCACATCGTACTCCGCATCATGCTGTGGAATCACAGGGTTAGCCATGGCCGCTGCCGTTGCCGCTGGTGATTGCGACTTGGCTGCATCGGCGTCGATTGTGGCCTGGTTCCCATAGATCTCGGGCATGATGTTGGGTGCGGACGATTGCGGTGGCGACGACGGCGGTGCTTGTGCAGTTGAGGATGACAGCGCAGACTCGTTTTCGTAAATCTCAGGCATCATCACACCCGCACCCGCAGTCCCTGGTGATGACAATGTTGGTGCTACCCCTCCTCTCTGTTGCTGCTGCTGCTGCTGTTGTTGTTGTTGCTGCTGCCATTGCGCGTTGAGGGCTTCCTGATTTCCGTATTGCTCGTCCGATGGAATTGGTGCTCCAGCGTGTGTGCTCTGCAGCGCTTGTTCGTTCACATACATCTCTGAGCCCATCACCTGCTGCTGCTGCTGCTGCTGGGGAATGGATGGCAGTGGTGGCTGCTGCGCGATGCCTGACGACGCTGTTGGGTTTGCTTGCATCTTCGTGTACCCCTGTTGCACTTGCAGCTGCGGTGGTGGGCGGGAGGGCGGCAGTGCAGAGTACATGTCATCCGCAACGGCCTGCACCACAGGGGCAGGGTGGTGTTGGTCACCAGCAGACTGTGCCCGTAACCTTGCCGCTGCGGCTGATGCTGATGATTGTGGTAGGGAGGATGGCGCCTGTAGAGGCTGCGACACGGTTGCCCCGCGCTTGGGCAGTGCAGAGTACATGCCTTCCTCTGCAACTGCCACAACAGGTGGTGGTGGCCGTTTCTTGATGCCCTTTGGTGGCAGCATCGGTGGTGCGTCATCGCTTCCTGCAGTGGCTTGGTGGCGGGCAGGTGGCAGGGCACTGTACAAACCGCCATCATGCACGGCTGCCACCTGCTGTGTGTGTGCGTGTGTGTGCGTGTGTGTGTGTGTGTGTGTGTGTGTGTGT